AGTAAACTGGGAATCAAATCGATTATTTGGTTTCTAGATCTAACACTTAATTCTGTGCATGCTTTAAAAAAATCAATATTTCATCCAATTAGAAAATGGCAAGTTCAAGTCTGAGAACAATACATTTCTAAGACTGGAGCAGATATTGATCCCAAAGAAGACTGCATCATCGTGGATGCCATTGTCATTATTTAGTGGACTGTTGAAAATTGTTATGGACCAGATGTGACAGAACATGCCTATAATCCTAGCACTCAGAAGGCAACATGGCTGAATCAGGGTGATGTTGGGGGCGATCCTGCTTCAAAGACCAAGCACATTAGCAAATCCTACAGAAAAGAAAAGAGACAAAAGCCATTAAGAAACTTGAGATGGTGACAATAGAGTTTTACATCAAAATGCAGTCCATTATATCATAAAGAAACTAGAACAGTCACATACCCATGATCATGTAAACCTTCCAACAGTGCCAATCCCTTGCAGAACCAATTATAAGGCAGAGCAGCACTCTTAACTTTCAACTGAGCCATGGTGAGATACTGCCTATAGATTCCATACATGTGATATTGAGTCTATACACAGCTATCAAGACAGAGCTATTGTAAGCAATTATTGCAGACTGAAACAAGACCCGCATCACTCAGAGTCTGAGAATTGTTCAAGGGGTTCCACTCAGATCACTAATGAAAGCTTCCATCCAACATATTGGATTTAGCTTCAGCATTCTAGCTGGGATCTAAATAGAGTTTCACTCCCGCCTCACCCAAAGATTATGCTTTGTTTAGGTAGTTATAAATGGTGGGGTCTTTTGAGGCTATCAGTGTAAAAACATGTTTTCTCCTATAAGGAAAACTTCTGCTTCTCTGTCTTCTCCCGTATCTAATGAGATCCAATTTGGAGCTTCTGGAATCTGTTTGTGCTGTCTGCTCAGTTCGAGATCCTTATTCAAGCTCACTGAGCTTGGAATTGCATTTTCTATTTCAGATACTTTAAGAAATTTAACTTCTAAAGCTAGTTGAAGTAATTATGATTCTGTAAAAACTAAGCCAATTGCTTTTTAAGAGCTAAGCCTATTCTTGCCCTTTAGTGAAGTCAGTCTGTGGAATGAGCGCTAGAAATGCCCACCTGCCAACCACATGTAACCAAGGTCCCATTATGCTGTTCTGGGCATTCAGTGCAATGAGGGTGGAAGAAAAACATATACTCAGGATTGTTTCACTACACTTTAAATACTGGTTTGCCGGTAAGTGTGTCCCTCATCAAGCCCTGAACAGGACAGAGGCATGGGTAAATCAACCTCTTACGATGTGTTTCCAGGTCCACCGCTAACAGTTTAATTCTACATTGCACAGCAAACGTCACACCACGTGACAAGTGCAGTCTACCTCAGGTAATTATTCAGTGCATTACAGCATGGCATAATTCTTTTGCCCTTATTGAAAAAATATTTTAAAATGCCAGGTGAAAACTGCAAAACTCTAAAATTAATGTCACAATCAGTGACTTCATACTAAACTTGGGATTTTTAAAATATATACGGAGCCAAGGGGTTCCTATAATTATGTCTAAAAATGATCATATTGCATATAGATATATGATTTATATTGAGAAAAACTTGTCCAATGGATGCAGAGAATTTCCATCATTTGAAAGCCCCAAAGTTTCAAGAGAATAATTCAAGCTTGCCTCTTTTGGGATGATTGGGAAAGCTTACACATGCATAGGAATGTCCTTACTTGAGGCCATACATCCTGAAAGCCTTTATTGCACACGCCTCCTTGTTACAGCACAGTTTCCCTGAAGGATTCTGAGGGAGATTCAGGTGGTAAATATAAGCCAGCTGCTATTCAGTATAATTCTTCCTTGGAATGCTTTATACTTTTATTTATACATAAGCTGTAGCATCTGCCAGCAAAAAAAGATTAGTGTAAGCACTGTTTTCTGAATAGATGACTCCAGGACTTATGCTTTATAAAGCATAGTCATCCCTGTGGATTTAGCTTTGATTCAAAGAACGTTGAGTTATTTGGAAAGAGGCTGAAGAGTCTTCCTACAGTGTTAGAGAAGGGTCCCACAAAGCAGTTTCTTACTGTAGAAACTTTTTGCCTCTTTTGAATCCATTAGTATAATTAGATAGTGGAACTTCCATCAGGAATTGAGTTCATGTCAAAAAAAAATAATAAATATTTTGCATTGTGTCTTACTCCGTTGTTAGATAAAAGAGCATATTCTAAAAATATAGCTAGATATACCTACCTCAAAGTATTAGACAACTCAGTATTAGGAAAACTAAAGAGTAGCTTATTTCCCCGTATTTTTTGCTTATTTGTTTGTTTGTTTTGTTTCTTTTTTCTACTTCTTGCCTATATACTCATCAGATCCATATAATGGAAGGGAAACTTTTAGCACTCTTTATATCTTTTATTATGTATAGTTTATTGTGAGGAATAAATTCACACAAACTCCTGACAAACAGAAGAAATGAAGGTATGTCTATGATCATAATATTGAATAAATACTGAGACCTAATCTCAAAATTAGTGTTTTGTTAAATCTAATACAACAAAGTTTTTTATATAATTTTTCAAATAATTCCTGTGAGATGAGAAGTTCTACTTGATATATATTTTATAAAATGAGGAAGAAGATATCTATAGAAAGTATATTAACAGAGTCAGAAGGTGTGAGTGGTTAACTTGAGAGCCAGCACAGCTCACTTGACACATGGCCAAACTCTCAAATATAGAATACACTTGCAGGCATATTGTATGCAGTAAGAGCTTGAAAACTCTTAAAATAAATCCTGCTGGCTGAACACATGCAAGTGAAGAAGACCCCAGCAATACTAAAAAGATGCTGAACTTAAGTTGATATTTTTTGTGGAAAGAAGGAAAAGAAATTATGTTTCAAATTATATAATCTTGTGATCTTTCCTTTATCGTCAATTAGCCTTGAGAATACTCCTGATCATAAACCAGCTCTTAGCTCTATAGGACCATTAATTGAGTAAACATATGGTTATATAGAAATGGTGGTAAACTCTTTCAAATTGTAATATATACTATATGTATACTAAATAACATTTTTGCATTTAAATTAGTAGTACACAATGAACAATATTAGAAAATAATACAATATTAGAAAATAATTGATCAGTTGTCACCACAGTAAGCAATGGCATTCATAATCATTTTGCCAAAATATTTTACAATGGTGGTAAACCTTATTTCTTCATTGTATAATTAGGCTGTCTTATCTTCTCTTTTAAATTTTTATTTTAAAAATACAAAACAGCATGAATTTCACAAATTAATATTGCTGTATACTGTTTTGTATGTGTTTGCCTATTGTTTTCACCAGTTTCCAGAAACACTTCTAATTATCTTTACTGTGAACCTTTTTTTACTTTTTATTTTTTGTTACTTTAATTTTAAATAGCTTGCTTCACATGTCAATCCCAGTTCCCTCTCCCTCCCCTCCTACCACACCCGCACCATAACCCTCCAGCCTCCCACCCTATCCCCACTTCCTTATACATAGGGGATATCCAGGATCTGACATTTAACTCAGGGCAGGGTCCAGGCACTCCCCTAAGAGTCCAGGCTGAGAGAGCATCCCTCTTTGTGTTATGGACACACGAAGTCCGTTTGTATGCAAAGGATAAACACTGAGTATCTCCACACTGATTTCCAAAGTGGGTGTAGGAGTTGGCACTCCCACCAGCAGTGGAGGAGTGTTCCCCTCTCTCCACATCCTTCCAGAATAACTTATCTTCAGTGTTTTTGATTCTAGCCATTCTGACAGGAGTAAGATGGTATCTCAGAGTTGTTTTGATTTGCATTTCCCGGATGGCTCTGGATGTTGAGCACTTTTCAAGTGTTTCTCAGCCATTTTAGACTCCACTATTGAGAATCCTCTATTTAGTTTTAATTGCATACTTTGGTGTTTTGGAGACTTGTTTCTTGAATTCTTCATAAAATTTGGAGATCAGCCCTCTGTCAGCTGTAGGGTTAGTGAATATCTTTTCCAATTCTGTGGACTGCCTTTTTGTCTTGTTGACTATGTCCTTTGCCTTACAGAAGCTTTTTAGTTTCAGGAGGTCCCATTTGTTAATTGTCGATCTCAGTGTCTATGCTACTGGTGTTATGTTCAGGAAGCAGTCTCCTGTACCAATTCGTTGAAGAGTATCTCCCACTTTCTCTTCTAAGAGTTTCAGTGTGGTTGGATTTATGTTGAAGTCTTTGATCCATTTGGACTTAAGTTTTGTGCAAGGAAATAGACAAGGATCTATTTGCAGTCTTCTGCACGCCAATATCCAGTTATGCCAGCACCATTTATTGAAGATGCTTTCTTTTTTCCATTGTATAATTTTAGGTTCTTTGTCAAAAATCAAGTGTTCATAGGTGTGTGGTTTAAAATCAGGGTTTTCAATTTGATTCCATTGGTCTGTCTATTTTTGTGTCAATACCAAGCTGTTTTCAGGACTATAGCTCTGCAATAGTGCTTGAAGTCAGGTATGGTGATGCCTCCTTTATTGTACAGGGTTGTTTTGGCTATTCTGGGTCTTTTGTTTTTCCATATAAAGTTTATTATTGTTCTTTCAAGGTTTGTGAAGATTTGTACCAGAATTTTGATAGGGATTGCACTGAATCTGTAGATTGCTTTTGGCAAGATTTCCATTTTTATTATGTTAATTCTACAAATCCAAGAGCATGGGAAATGTTTCCACTTTCTGGTATCCTCTTTGATTTCTTTCTTTAGAGACTCAAAGTTCTTGATATACAGATATTTCATTTGTTTGGTTAACATTATCCCCAGATATTTGATGCTGTTTATGGCTATTGTAAAGGATGAAGTTTCTCTGATTTCTTTCTCAGTCAAGTTATCATCTGCATATAATAGGGCTACTGATTTTTTTTAGTTAATCCTGTATCCTGCCACTGACACCTTTCCTTTGTGGTGGATCCTCTGAATGCCAGGAGCAGGTCCCCAGAAGATTGTAAAATATGGAATGATTCACGAATTTGCGTGTCATCCTTACACAGGGTCCATGCTAATCTTCTCTGTATTTTTCCAATTTTAGTGTATGTTCTGCTGAAGTGATCACTATTGTGAACTTTTAAAATCCTTGGTTTTTAAAGTACACACATTTTCTGGTTTTTATTTTGTTTTTGTTTTTTTTTTTGCTTCTTGTTTTTTGTTTTTTTGTTTTTTGTAATATCCCTACTGTGGCATAGCACAGCATAATATACCTGTCTTCCCGTCTTTGAGGACACAATCAATCCTGCTTATCCTTCCCCCATCCCTTATGGTCCATTGCCTCTGAAAACCACCATGGTTGTTTCAGGGTCTATGATTTCAACATATGACTTCTATCACGTGGTACCTGTGTATACCTGCCCTTCTTACATCAATTCCCAGTTCCATCCATGTTGTCTTTTAATGACTAATGTCATTCTGTTTATAACTGCATATCATTCTGTTTTATTTGTGTACCTCATTTTCTCTCTCCATGCCAAATTTGATGGGCACATTAAATTTCTTGATTCTTATTTTCTGTTATATGTTTTTTTAGTTTGTGGGTGGCCACATTTGCGTGCAAGTTTAACTATGTTCCTATAACTAGCATTATGAGTTCTAAATGACTTTAAATCCATAATTTAAATAGTCAGCTATCAGTAGAACTGTCTAGAATAAATATGACAGACATAATGTCATTATCGAAAATGCAAGGATGACACTAAAGCCAAACTACACAGACATGTTTTAATATTTCACTTGTCAGTCAAGATAATTAATAAAATTTATCTTTCTTCATGACAAATTTGATGCTCTTAATTTAACATTTTAAACAAAACAGACACGATGAATACACTGTTGTTTGGGGCTGTTGTGGATGGAATTATTTGATATGAAAAGTCACGCTTGGAGTCAGTGTGATGTCTCAGGACAAAAAGGCACTTGGTCTGATGACCATACTTCCATCTCTGGGTCACACACATGGAAAGAAACAACATCTGTTCACCACATACCTTATGGCATTCATGCGTACACTAATACAGACACACAGCACATAAAAGTATGAACAAAAATTAAATAATAAAGTTCTGTTAAATGGAATCAGTAGTGAATATGTAATAAAATATATGAAAAATGGTATTTCATTATACATTTTTCCAATAAATGTGTTAAATCAGTAGTCATGTAGTCTAGCTTTCAAATGAAGGTCTTAAGGGAGCCATTAGAAAATGTTTTCATTATGATGTAAGCAAAATGGTGGATTTTAGGAATTGGTGATATTAACCAAGTGTTTACTCGATTTCAAAGTGTTTTTTTTCCATAAGAGTGAAGAAAAACTGTGATTGGGATGTATTTTATAGGAGAATCTACATTTAATAAAAATAATATTTAAAAGAATAAACATTAGAAATGAAAATAGCATTTAAAAATTAAGTAGCATGATCAAACATGGCAAGGATTTAATAAATAATTATATAATACAATCTTATAATTGAATATTAGGGACACATATATAATGTGAACTCATTTACACTGTATTATACTTTAAAAAGGAATTTTCAGAATAATAACAGTACTCTCATGCCCAACAATGGCAGAATTCATGTCTAGGTAACTAGGTTCCATAGAAGTCTTACTGATTGCATTTGTTCATTCTATCAGGAAAAGTGGATCTGATGTTTGTCTGTATGTGAGCACTTCATGACCACTAGATGCCTATCTAAAATGAATCCTCCACACACCCTTGTTATCCTAAGCATTGTTTTCATTTCCTCTTTCTAGATAACCCTAAAGAGACAACTCGTGTGTCTGTTTTTGTGAGGATTTTGGATGTTAATGACAATGCTCCACAATTTGCTGTATTTTATGACACATTTGTGTGTGAAAATGCCAGACCAGGACAGGTAAGCAACTGAACAACTCCAATCAGGATGCTTTTCCTTGTGTATAAAAAGTGTTTTAGTCAAGATCTTGGTAAAGGTGACATAGAGATAAGAAGACTTATGTATACTCTCATTAAAAGTTTAGAAAGTAGTTAATGTTTATAAACCTGAAAGTATTTTAAGAGTCAGATTTCCTTTGCAAAATTGTAATGCAAGAAAATAATAATGAAATCTTACTCTATAATAATATAATTATAATCATGTAATAATACAGATATTGTCTCTTCTATAAAAGTTGAGATGTGGGAAATAGCATTATATTTTAACACTTTCAGAATCAGGAATATATACCAGAATCTGCTTCATACCATTGGCTCTAAATTAGTAGTGTTTAGAGAAATGGAGGATGACAGTTTTTATTTGTTATTAACTTGTGTATTGATCTCTTTACATATTTAACTTGGGTTTTTCTAGGCAGGATTTCTCTCTGTAACAGTTCTAGTCGATCCTGGAACTCACTTTGTATACCAGGCTAACCTCAAACTCATAGATATCCTCCTGCCTCTGCCTCGCAGGTGCTTTTTGACGTTTGCACCAGCATGCCCTGTGTAGTACAGTTTTTATGGTCAGAGCTTGGGCCCTAGCTGCACCCATTCTAAACAAATCAATTAAATAGGCATGTAACAGTGAAAGGCAGGGAAACAAGTTTTATTCAGCGTGGCCAGATTGGAAGAATGAATAAGAAAGGCCAGTGATGACCAACTGGTCCATCTTTGAAGTCCTAAAATGAGGTTTTGGTTAAACAAATCTCATGGAATATGTATCACAAAGCAGTACTATTCAAGAGTGTCCCTGCCAATCATTTACAATACCTTTTCTGAGTTCTAGTGTTATCTGTGAGGTGGTCTGTGTGGTTATCCAAATTATCTGAACTCTTTTAGGGAGACAAGTTTCTCCTGTGCCCGGCACCAGCCTCAGCCTTTTCTTCTCTAGCAAGAGAATCCCGGGAAATTTCCAATTCCTTGGAGACTACTTGTTGAATAGTCTAACACAAACATCTCCTTAGAATGTTTGCATTGCTGCAGGGTGGTGACAGTGTGACTCTGGAAATTCAGAGACAAGTGCACAGGCTCACTGAAACACGCTGTCAGTGTTGGGTTGTAGGCGAACATGTTTTGAAGGAAGGCAGCCAAGTTGACTATTATGTATTGCCTGTGATTTTCCTCAGTGTGGCAACACATAAGACACTTAATGACTTCATTTCAGTCCTTTGAAACATTCTTTTTACATCAGCTTTGTTTGGAATTATTTAAATCATTTCCTCAGTGGACTCATTTTGTTGTTTGAAAAGCTCCAGCATATATGGCTGAAAGAAATGCTGTTAATTGGCTTGAGTGCTATCTTCACAGAAGGAAGCTGTATATTATAAATAATAATTGGGAATCAAAAGCATTTTATTAGAGATAGAGAAGCCATTGAAAAACTGTGTCATGTTTTGACATCATTTAATGCTTTTATAAACATCAGTGTCATTGCTATATTTTTATGCAAATTGCATTGTCGAATAACTCAAGTTCCACTTGTGAATATTTTAATGAGAATTCAATAGCTTGTCTATTGTTTGAAACGATAAAAATTACTGCAATTCGAGTTTTTTTACTTCTAATGTTCTGTAAATGTTTATTTCTGAATATTTAATTAACTTAGGTGCTTCTAACTTTCTTAATGAATCAGTGTGTCTACCCTAAAGATACCCTTCCAGTCAGTCTTTGACCTACAGGTTCAGCATGACTTAGGTTAAAATCTTTTCTGTAAGTAATAGATTATCCACTTTGCTGCTACTATATGCATTGCTCCCTCCATGGATATTCAAACTGATCTTCAAGAGATATCATTTTGACTAGTTGAGGCATAAATGATGATATTCACAAATATTCAAAATAAAGACTGGTACCTATTTCTTTGTGCTTTCTCTCTTGCTCATTGTAGCTAACCCACAAATGCCTCAAAATTGTATGGATTTTTCAAAAATAGTTCATGGAGGGAAATAATAAAATATTTGTTTTGTCTTGACAACATTAATATGAATATGAATAATTCTTCTCTAACTGGACATATGTGCACATATGTTCAAATCAACACTTTGTATTCATACTAGGTTTATCTTAGTCTGAGTGCTTAAGAAATTTTTTGTTTGAACATGGCTTTTAGATAGGAAATCATTAGTGTAATGTGTTGGTATGTATCAGTGTACCCAGCATTTGAGAAACTGAGACAAAGGCATCAGTAGTTCAAAGTTTCCCCATCTACATAGTGTGATCAAGCACAGCCTGACTACACATTATTTCTCAAAAAGCACAACCATGTAGGAAGTGGGAGGGCAGCAGATTCAGAATCTAAAGTCATGGCATCCAAATGAGATAAAGTAGTTTTTCACTAGACTTCCTCACTATAAGCCCTGGGTGAAATGCACTTGCTAATTAGGCCTCCTCAGATACTAGGAAAATTGAGTGTTAGGACTTCTCAATAGACTTGAGCTATTTATTGTGTACCTTAATCCAAGCAGTAGCCCTATAATTTAAGTAGTTGTTAAGTAACACTTAGATATACAGCATGAGGGATAATCCCACTCATTTGGTGTGTGGACAAATGGGTGAGTCAGAAATAAAACTGCGAGCCACCACATTTTCCTTTACTTCTTCTTCCCCTGGTCTTGTCAGTTCCTTGATTGAAGAAGGAGGCATTTTCTTTAGGAAGGATGAAACTTGCCACTGATAGGAAGCTAACTGGCAAGTAAACTGGGATGCTAAACTCATGCACCCTTCAAAAAGGAAAGTCTTTAGAAGTGAGGCAGAGAGCTGACTCTTGGTATCCATTTCCCTCACTCATGTCCTTTCCTTCAGCTGGAGAGTATATTTTCATGGTCAAGGGAGCAAACAGGCATTTACATCTCAAAAGAATCTTAGTAAACTAGTGTCCCAGGAAAAGTGATGCTCAAATTTACTCTTTAATACCTATGGATGTTATCAAACAAAATTATCAACTGACATCACATATTAAGTCAAGTGGCAGGCCAGGGTTTATCAGATCTAAAATTTACATCATATGTTATCCAAAGAGCAGTGTTCAGGTACATCTCTTACAACCTGGAATGGTGTGTATATGGCAAGAACAAAGGAAAAATTTCACCAAGAAGTACATAT